AAAGAAAGCGTGATTAAACCACGCTTTTAATGAAAATTTGGTTTTTAAAGAAAGCATGGTTCGCAACCATGCTTTTGAACCAACACCAACCCACAACTATTTATTATTATTATTATTATTCAATCCACATTCTATAATTCACTCAGTCATCTTGTAGATCTCTATATATAAATTATTCATATAAAATATCATATTGATAAACAATCTTAGATACCAAATTTTATTATTTTAATATTTAAAAATAAATTATGTAATTTTCAAATTATGTTTCGCATCCATTATTTTTAAAAAAAATGATAAAATTGTATATACGATTATCAGATCAATTTGATATTTACATAAATAATTTATACGTAAATTTTTTAAAAAATAAACAGCATGAATTGTCTAAAGAGTAGTGATTAAGAGCTCTAAAACTAGAGTTCTGATTTAAGCTATAATGTTGTGGCATAAAAAAAATAAAAAGAAAACCACAAACAAGCAAGCATAAACATCATATCAAAGATTATTAGACTAAGATTTTACCATTGAATCCTGGGTCAGAAACATGGCTAAAAGTGTGTTTTGGAAACACACTTCAGCTTATTTTGGGAATTTCGGCCAACTAGACTTAGTTTGGAAAATAAGTTAGCAGTTGGCGTATTTTGGAAAAGCCTCCAGATAATTTCAGGTCAACAATCTCAGTTTGAATTTGAGTGAATTTTAAAAATTTGTGGAGGCTTATAGATAATGTTATGGTATATTTTTTTAGGTTGTATATTATATGTATAATTATACTATTTTGTGGTATTTCTTATCATACATGTCATAATTAAATTCTCATTCGGTCATAACTACAAAAAATAAAATTTGAGTTTATAACTACCACATGAAATATAAATAAAAAAAATTTAGATCATAATTTAAAATAGGACATGGCTTCTCCTGGTCCCAGGTCGGATTGGCGTGAGTGTTGTTGGGCCCGTGGACAGTGGCGGAGCCACACTTGGTCCGGGGGGTCACATTGCCCCTCTTGGTTTTGGAATATATATATATATATATATTGCAAATATAAAGAAAAAATTTTAAATAAAAAAATTATAAAATAATATTTAGATTGAAATATCAATGACATTTTTTAAAATTATGAGAATAATAATGGTTTTTTTTTATTATCATTGAAAATAAAGATATTACGATAAATCATATTATTTTTATGAAAATTTCAATACAATGGTGATGTCCATCATTCTTAACGTGCAATTATAATTAAACTCAATGAAGATATGAAATTTATTGAATTGTTAGTTACATTTGACAAGTGGGATTCATCCTTTATGTTTTATCTACTATGGTTGGTGATATCATAGGTAATAATGGATGAAT